CCGTAAGTTTTTCGTCTCAAAAAGGGTAACACTTCATTAGTGAAGCAAATATCTAGTCACATCTTTGAAATTACTATCCTCTGTTGTCTAAAAAGACGTCTTTTTTTCGCAAAAAATGTTTTCTAACAGACGACAAAATGTTTATTATGCCGCTAGTATTCCGTGCTTCATACTCAGTATGAAACATATGACACCTTTTGTAAGCGGACGCGTTAAGAAAGATGCTCACAAAGGTAGATTTCATCTCAACATTTAAGACAACAGCTTGTTAAGGTAAGCACAAATTTAATTTCAGCTGGCCTGCCAAGTTCGGATACAAAGCCTTTAAAAACTTCTAACACAGTATTTCGGCCTGTCACAACCGTTATCAGCAGGTAAACTGCACAATCTTCCTCGTATTTTGTGCTTACCATGGAGCCTCTCCGATAACCAGGGCGTCTAAGTTTTTAGAGAGGACTCCACTCGCCCCACAACTACGCCTCCATGTGAATAACTTTGCCCGTTCGAAGATATTCGACCTTTGCATGCGTGACCTTTTGTATTGTTCGCCGCAATGATTATTCGAAATAAAGCATTATAGTTGTAGATACAAGGTGATAGCGGCATCAACCTGGTCGGGTGAACTTTAAACGTTGCTCATTTTAATTTACTTGATTATTCACTGTGTACTTGTAATATAATCGACGCTTCACTCCTCTACTAATGCGGCAACCTTTACTGCCCTGTACGGGGTATTAATTCTGCGAAGTTTCAGTCTGAACGAGAAAAACCACGAACCGCTCTAGCCATCATGTTGTGGGCGGAGCATGGCTCTCACCGTAAACTATATGACACTCTATATTTTGACGAACCAAAGGAATTTTGGATAGATATCAGATGGGGAACGGTGTGGCAAATCCCGTATTTTTGGTGTGCATGTATCTGACTAGGGGGCATAGCATCTAAAATACCTGAAGATGCATTATTTCTAATCTTTGTGGAATTATTATTATTATTATTTTAAGTTATTAAATTATTTTAATTTAAAATACCTATTATATTTATAATATTTTTATATGAAATGAAATATTATAAATATAATAGGAATATTTTTAGAAGTGTTGCCTTTGTGACCCAAAAGTGAGTACATTCTAGTAAACTGAGAAAAGTCGTTAACACAGATTTCCTGCTCTGCCATGAAAGCAGCAGCTAAATGATTATGAACTGGCTTGACGCCGACAAAATCGTATTACGAATACCATCTAAATATCAGTAAGCTTGCATGTGCCTGAGTAAGGTTACGCAAAACAACATTGATATATTAGACTATCGAAAATTCTTCTGGACTGATATCCGTTTAAAAACCGCAGACAAATCATACCTAGCAAGCACAAGAAGAACCTTGAAAGAACTAAAGCTTTTTTATCTTTAGCTAGTACGAATTCTAGAATGACAATGAAAAGTACAGCTTATTTTTCATTGTTCTTTTTTCTCCAAGAATAATTTCCTGGTTGTGAACTAATTAAGCACACAGGATTTTAAATATGCACAGTATAAATTAATTGCAGCGGGTTCTTTAGTCTCAAAAGCTTTAGGAGGAGAATTTGCATCAAATGTTACAAGTCTCGAACACAACGAAGCAAAACTTTTTCGAAAGTAAACGTAGGCTCTCAAATATCGATTAGATTTAATTAGTGTCTCTAGGGCCACGAGTCATAAGACTGTTAAAAAAATATATATGAATGACAGTGAAATGATATGTGTTGCCTTTACAAGTCTCAAGTCCGAAGGGTCGGGAACGCAACATATGGTTTACTAAATGATAATGTGTGAAATCAATTACAGCTAGAACAGAATTATTTACCTGCAAAATTGTCGATGCCAACATCGCCCACTGAATTAAACGAAGATGAAGTGTGTTGAAACAGCTTAAGTAAATTAATAATTCAAGACAACAACGTCCCCCTTCTAGGCTATTTCTAGAAAAAAAAAACGAATTGATTTATCTCATTTGACTAGAGTAGCGAATTGCGTAATCCGTGGTGGCGACGACATTGGATCTAGGGCCGAAGTATGGCTATAGTTAGAAGAATGTGTCCGTAGGGAAACCCTGAAGCTATGCAGTGGAAGGTAACTTAAAATGCACCACACCAGAACCTCGTAACCTAAAAATTATGCCTATTTTGAAGTAGCTAAATTCCGAAAAGCTATGTGGGAAACCTGTTTTTGAGCAACAATCATATTTCAGTTCAAAAAGTTAATTAAACTTTTAATAATTCAGTTACGACTGTATTACGACAAACTTCCTTCCGTGTGAATTCTTCGCAGAGTAGTGACTGCACGAAGAACGGCTGCCTTCATAAGACTTCTATAACGAAATGCGATGCGCACATTCTCAAAGTTCACAATGCGAAGAATGTCATAACAAAGTACATCTTAAGCATGTCAATAGAGCGAACAATATGCGGATATTGCGTAAACACCAGTTACATTTGCCGAGTTACTGTTAAAAGAAAGCTAAGAATACTAAGCTATAAATATATTTAAGCGTTTCAGTACTGGCGGACAAAAATGAATAAATTAGCTTAGTAATTTAGGACGAGATATAATAGTCTGTGTCGGTTTCGCTATGATGCTACGCGCTTTGATTGATGAAACGACGAAAAACAACATACACACATAACAGCTCATCAAGCGGACTCTTCGAAGCAGTCTGCTTAGTTCAAAAAGTAACGCTAAAAAATACGGTGATACAAGTACATAAGCATAGTACGTTTGAACGACACTACGTTCAGGCCATCTAAAAACAGTGACAGACAAAAAACTTACAGGTACATGCGAAATGGGAATAGGTCACAGGTATTGGTCGTGCGAGTCGCAGCCTTCTCAAATATCGTTTCTTGATGTTCGCAACGTCTGCAAATCGGTTGGGCCACAAAGATATTGACAGAAACGTAAATAAAGGCAACGTTTGTATTTTGTTTCTCGTTTGCCCAATAATAGTATCGGACGTGTAACGTAAAACTTTAAGAACAACACATTTCAGGCAATCCTATATGGAAAAAAAACTAAGAATAAGATTCAGTATGTCACTAAAAACGCTTGTATACATCTAACACTGTTTTTAGTGCTGTCGTGTAACCTGAAATAATCGTTTATACGATGGGAGCTTTAAAGTTCGTCGCGAGCTTGACCTACTTATAAGGCTTCATAAGAGCGTTGTACTCAATCATTGCATGCATGAACACATAATAATATCTGTATTATATTTTATGAATATAATAATGTAAATAGCCAACGTGGCAAGCATTGTACCCGAAATGCAGCTATACTCTAGCGGTCGAAACATTATATAATTCCCAAGAGTAGGCCTGCTGTTTCTTTATTAAACTAACACAGCATTTTATGGCCGTCATAAAAATTAATTATGTGCTGCTTAGTTTGCGATACCTTGTATATGACATCAAGGCAGTAGGAGTACTTCTAAATCTAATGTTCTTTTTACTCATGCTATGTACTATGAACTGCTACGATTTAGCGTACAAAACTAACTGACCATCACAGCTTCACATGCTAAGTTGGCTTTATTTGCTTGACTTTTTAAGAGACAGTGACAGATCAAACTGAGTTGAACATATTCAATAAAGACGAAGCAGTTCAGTCATATGCCACTGATCTGCTACCAAGTTATGGTAGAAATAGATACCGAGAGCTTACCAAAATATCCAGTCGGTAAGAATGCTTTTTTCCGCCGACGGAGCCCGCCAATTGCATAAATCTGGTCACACAAAGCGAATTATCAAAAGTGTATTATTCGTAAAATAAAATATAGAAGTTTAATACCAAGTGAACATGCAGATTGATGTCTATTTTGCAAATACTTGTATGCATTCTGTTTTTTTTTGACCCAATAACGTGTATGCTGGACCATGTTTTGCTTGGTTAAGGGTTAGAATGTCCAGATTCAAATGGCGGCTATAAACCAACTTTAAAATTGACGAGGAATTTTGCGTATCGTATACATGCAGAAACAATCCTTCACATAAAATCCTTGACTAACCAAATAGGCTGCCGGTAACCTGCTACAGATAATTGAGTCACAATGAATTTGTCTCATATCCTACTTTACCTACTATAATTCGTCTCAACAAAACTCTTTTTAAGAAAATAAACATCGCCTAAACCAGTTCCGTGACTTGCGCTGTGTATTGCAGGTAATCGCTTGCCTAGAAACCATGCTAATTCAGAAGTAAACAGTAAAATCAAGCACTCAAAATGAGCACCTGCATATAGCTTTTTCGCGCCATTTTTCTCTACCTTCGATTGTATTTTGCCTGTTATTTCATTTATCTCACGATTTTTTTTAATTTTCACTATTTTCTTTTTTTTGTATGTATCCACTTGATAAGCATAGGAAAAATAAAGCAGTCGTTGTACTCAGTCTATACCACAGTGTAAGTAACTTGGAAAAATCCTGATTGCCAGTCATGCCAGTTGAGATTAGCAAATACTATAATCATATTTCTACAGCTAAATTCATTGGCAGCAAACATTTACATCGATTTTGGCTGCCTGTATTCCCGATTTCGATGTTTCGGCGTCAACAGCAAGACTGCTTTGTTTCGCCTCACCTGGCTCCGGAGAACGGAAGCCGTTGTCCGGGTTTGCCCCGGCAAAAGCAACAAACGCCATAAGAGCATGCACGTGGCACACGCTTTACAGGTAGACGTTCGATAGACCAAAGACCTACAGAAATACCATTTCAGAGGCAAAACACACACTGCATGACACCAGCTTATTGTGTGTCATCATATCATTAAACCTCTTGCATTTTTCGGCTCGCATTCTCTCCACATGCCACCGAGATTCAGGCACAAACACTGCCACTGCGAATTCGCGAACGAACAATGCGTAGGAAAAAAAAATCTCCAGCTGTTGACACTGCACATGAAACACTAATTCCAATCTTCCTGTCACCCCAATTAGACTTTAAGTAAGCTAAACACGAAAAACACTTTGGATTTATCACGAAATTAAGACGAAAACCATTTATTTCTCGTCCATTCGCAAAGCAGCAGCAACAACAGATATTGCATGTTGCTCTACGCCGATGTAATTGGCCTAATGCAGTTGTAGTCCCCAGCGGCGAACTGCGATCGATGCTCGCTCTCCGCACCACGTTCAGGTCGTCTTTAATGCGTTCTCAGGTCTTCGTCTGCGGTTTGTCGACTTTCTGCCAACCACTGTCCGTCCTTCGAGATCGTCACCGCATTTTCCTTCATAAAAACTCCATTATCGCCATCTTAATGCTGCTTTCGTCTAAACGAGCATCCCTCGATGAGATGTGCTTTACCTCCCGTCGGCTGGCAAAGCATGGACGAGCAGCCGGAACACAGCACCACGGTCTGGGGGTGTGAGAACACGGTGGTGATTCGATAACAGCCGGGGCACTTGACGTCCATAAAGAACGAGTTTGGGGATTGTACAAGACGTTTAAGCTTGCATTTGCGCTTCTCCTCAAGCGGGCTGGGGTTCAGAAGATCCTTTGCGAGCGGCATTTTGCGTGATTTTTCGTAGCGCACGACCGTTCGCCACTACCACACGTTGAAAAGAATTTTGTAAACATCGCCTGCTAACTGTTCCGTTTTCGATTTTGGGATGGACGCATTCGCGCAATGAGGGCAATGATCTTGCTTGGTTGAACAGAGCGCGGGCCAGCAGTAATGCAGAGCTGGTTGCACATAACAATAGACTGGGAGAGCGTTTCGGCTAGAGAGAATAGGAAAGATGAAGTTCAGATATCTCATAAACTGGATAGATATCATGGATACCTGTATAATAGAAAAATGTAAAAAAGGTGGTCTTAGTGTGCTCATATAATCATATTAGCATAACCATTCATGCAGGCTTATCTACAATAGGAGAAGCGAAGGAAATTTGAAATTCGCGCGCCATGCTTTCCTTACCTTTTTCTCTCTCTCGTATGCACGGTGCTTAAACGAATCGGTATATCACGGGACTGTGTTGTAGTGGTTATGTGTATGAGTTGAGGCTTCCTTTTACTTGTGTTTATAGTTTTACCATCGGCCTGTTTTGCCTTTGTGTGTGTAAGTTGAAAGGTTAAGTGAGCTTTGACCGCACAATCTGGATGATGTGGAACCCGTGGTTAGTACTAAGTTTTGCGGCTATGACCCAATGTCACAGTCCGGCTATAATGTGGCCAGCTGATCAGTAAGTACCTAGTGTATGCTTTTAACATTCGCAGTTGGTTGTTCCTTTTATGTGTATCTTTATTTGTATTTATTCTATTTAATATTTTAAGGTGCAGCATGAAAAAGTAACCTCGGATTACTTTTCCTACATATATTTCGAAGCTAGAATACAGCTTAGTAAATAGCTAGCGTAATCTGCTATGAGGTTGTTCAAGGCTTCAAACAATCGTAAAAGGGATGCGGTCCACTCACGTGATTTGAGCCGAGTCTATGTGATAACCAGGATTGGACGATACATTTTTTAATTATATTAAGATAATATTTAATTTAGTATTCTAATTCATTTATATATGTCGTAATAAAGTACCCTTCGTCGTAATGTGCTTCTAAGTCGTTATTATGTATACAAGTTTAAACAGGAAAAAAATAATGAATGAGTGGGGTTATCGCACACCTGTCGTACAGTTAATAATGTGTTTTAAAGAACAAGCTTCATAAACTTGTCCAGTTCAAAGTTTGTAAGTGGTTTCCGAAAAAGGATAGCCACAAATCTATAATGACTGGTATTGTGAATTGTATGAAGTCGGTACCTCTATAAGCAGGTCTTCTAACACTAATCCCCTCTGGGTACTCTATTCCACCTTATATCCACATTATTCTATGACTGCATGAAGCGCAGCAAAATTTAATAAAATTAAATGTCTAACTGATTTTTGATTTACTCAAAGGTTCGCACTAGCGGATGGTCAATCTGCTCTAGAGACGATGTCGCTAGAGGACTTTCAGAAGATGTTCCAAGATAAAAAAGTGGTGGTTTTCCATAAGTACAGTGTAAGTACATCTATCATTTATGTACTAGGTATTTATATTATAATATTCTCTTAGTAATACACTTTTTTAACACCTCGCCAGCTGGTTTTCTTTTTGCGCAAACCTACACATTTTTAATTACTTTCATAAAAAAACTTTGTTCCGTCGAGGTGAAGGCGCCAGCTGACGCCGCTAATTCAGACGCAACCAATGATATATACAACACGACAGGTATGACTAAATAAAGAAAAAAATCCCTTTGATGCGTTTCTTTGTTTCCTTTTTATTTTTTTATAGTTTACGATTGAAAACGTGGCCTACCCGTCCAAGCCCATCCATTATCTACAGACAGTTGATGCGATTGCACTACAAAACATCAAATCTGCTCATCGTATGTTGGCTTCACTAACCGAATCGGACTCGGTGAAGATTGTCCAGCTAGACAATGGCAATTTGGCTGACCAGGATCAATTGATCAAGGATACAATGGAGGCAAACCCCGGGTTCGCTGGAATTCTGATTGGATTGGGATCAGGTTTGCTACAGTGCTAGTACTTAGTAGACAGAAGGTTACACCCAAAACGTGATAGGTATGCATATTCTGGATAAAATTCAAGCAAAAACCTACAAAAAGCAATAAAACATTGAACAGATTCTTTATGCTCTGATACTTCTTATTGGCTGATCACGTTGAACTTGTTTTATACGTTTTCTGTAACTGTGTAGTTTTTTTTTCACTTTACCGTCAACAGGTTCGCAACGAAGTCGTCGTGCTGCTGATGACAAGTCCAAAGCTGCTTGCGAAAAGCGTGGTACATCAGAGAAGTGTATAGCGTACGTTGCGGCAGTCAAGGTAATGACAGTGATGACGAAGTTGATGTGAGTGCAGGTCAAATATTGTAAACGGCCATTCTGTGGGTGAACTGGTGTGCAACTTAAAAGCCAATAATCGTATTCTGTAATCGTCATAGAGGACACCAAATTCAAAATTCTGGTTGGGAGTTTTATCACACCTATACAAAACTGCTTTACTATAAGTGAATTTGCTACGTTCTGATATCTGATGGCAAAAGCAAGATAGGGTATGATCTTAAGCTTGTTGCTGAAACGTTTAGACACAAAAAGGAAATATATAATTGATTTTTTGCTACTTTATTTTGCGTTTATGTTAAGGTTGGTGCCTCTGGTACTGGTAAGTGCGAAATTCATTGTCCTGAAGAGAAATCGCTAACAATTGAAGTCCAAGACAACAATGATACCGCTATTGCCACTATCAAGGTAAATTGCGAATTCTTTAAACGATTTACTAGCTTTATTTGTGCAGTTTTTTTTTCTATAGATCGCATAGATCTAATCGCTTTAATGTTATCTGTAATTTGTTGTCTCTTTTATTTTCGACGTGACAGGTTAAATATATGACACGACTAAGTAGGTATATATATTAGCATTTGTTCATTTTAGCTTCACAAGTGACTACTGCGTATAGTATAGATGAATATTTATTCGCTGTGAATTTAACCGAAAGTAAGATACGGTTATTTGGTTTGTAACTAAGTCCAAAGCGTTGGTCAAATTTAGTCATTTGTTTTGTTGGACACCGACTGTGTTTCCAAATACCTAAAGTTTTTCGGTCTTTATAACGTAATTATATATATACGAAGTCATGTATTAACATCGCATGTCGAATAATTTATTTCTTGTTACATCCCGAGGTAACTATAACATGAAAAGATTATTAAATAGGCTAATATCAAATATGCAAATTCGTTATAATTAATTCTTCTGTAATAACAATTTACATAATGGATAGAAGTTGGGAGTGTTGTTTTAATAATCTTTAAGCAAATTCGCAGCCAGTGATTATTAATTTTTGGTCTAATACAGGACAATCATTGAAACAAGAATATGTACTCGTTTAATATGCATATCGCTATTCTTCATGCATTTCATGCTGCCCAGGTCGTTGAACACTCTGGCGGCTACCAGCTCAGCGTAGATGGTGACCAGTACAAATTCGATGTGGATGCCAAAAGCACTTGGACACCGTATTCGTTCTCGTTCTCTTGCGCCGAGCTTAAACTCATCCCGACGGCGAAGAACACGCAGAAAGACGTGGTTAGTGTTCTTGCATTTCAAATTATTTTCTGGAATTATCAACAACCCACATATTGAAACGTTACGAACGACTTCCAATCCAATCCCCATACCTTACATGCATCGCATGACAACTAAGCAGTAACTCCACTTAATCTATTTGCGATTCTTGTCAGTAGTCGAGAAGCGAGAAATTTCTAGATGCTCTTTTAAGCTGGGCTTTGAAAGGAAACTAACAAATTTAAACGGAAATATAAAGTAGTCGTAAAAAACTAGATTGAGCCTTGTAGTGCACATTAGTTCAGTGGCTTCTTCTTATTGCTTTGTCGTTGACAAGAGCCGAAATGTAATTCGATTTTTCTGGGTTGGGCCCAGCTACGCTTAATTCAAAGTACACTTTGTTGGGGTATAACACTGTGAATCTGTGTACATTTACAAGAACCTCAACACATTTTATAATGCGAAATAAATAGACAACGTTCTTTTCCCACTAGGATACAACGACTCAATCAAAACGGCCTTACGTACGTTTTAATACGAACAAAACTCTTATAACACACAATTTCTCAGTCGGACCTCCCTCACGGGGGAGCTCAAAAGCAAGGCACCGTGATATGGTACACGTACAAAAAACAATTCCGGCTTCATCTAACCCCACAATTTTTTAGCAACATGTATGTCACCCGTGATACGAAGTCATACAGGCACCGGGGATCGGGAGGCTTTTAGTAACTCTGTTGTTTTCTTACGTCATTTATTGTAGTACTTCTTGAGCGGCCTACAGCTCTGGCCAAAGGCGGGCAAGGAGACGTTCGGCGATTCCTTCGATTGTTCGACGTGGTTTACGCCCCAACTCTGGATGGGCTTCTTGATTTCGCTCTTCTACTCGGCGATACTCTTCGTTGCCATTCTATTCCTATTAGATGTGAAGACCAACGACCGTTTCGACGACCCGAAGGGCAAAACTATCACCGTTAACGTGTCTGAGTAACGGAACGGATCTGCAGTTATCTTGAGCACGAATAGCAGACGTGATTCGCAAAGGAAAGCTTCTAATCTTATTAATTAGTGGTAGTTATTGAAGTTTAGGTTATTGCGGAGGTGATGGCTTCAGAATCAGATGACTTTTTAACAAGCAACATCTCGATGAAGACGCTAATGTATGTAATCGTGAATGCATCAAAAAGTTTCAGTTCAAAACCAAAAAGTTTCAGCAATGAAATTTCGAGGGTAAGCCGGTACACTCAGATAATAACCCAGATAATTTTGGCTAATCCAATTGTAATTTGATCTACGTATATACACAATTCACTAGTGGGAAGACTGAATTTAATTACAGAGCTAATAATAATGTTATGTAACAAAAGTGATTAATTTATTATAAATGCTATTATTTTTATACGTACACATTCCGTAAATCGTAATAAATCACATGTTCGAAGGAATATACTTACAACATATTTTCCTTACTTCTAGTTACCGATTTGAATTGTATATATTGTATTTAGGTATTACTTATAAAAACTATTAATGTTGCATATATATTGAGTGTTACATAATGTTAAAATAGTATTTTATGTTGTTATTATTACGGGGCACGAACAGTAGTGAATGCATACGTGGGCAGTTGGAATTTATATCAGTTCACGTTACCCTTAATTGATTTAGCAAGTCGTTAGGAAACTGATTACATATCTTATCTCAAAAAGTATAGACGAAACATTATTGATAAAAGAAAGCCAAATATAAATTGGCAAATCTATCAGCTGGCTTTGAGAATATAATATGAGCCAAAGGCGATGTTATTAATTGCACGCGGTCTGTTGGCGACTCTGTATTTTTAGCACGAAGTTTGAGCTTGATGTTTGTAGCCATTGGCAGAAGTTGATCAAACTCGACGGTTATTTTCTGTCGGTTATATTCCGTGGGTTGAATGAATCTATCAATGTAAAGGGGTCATTCGATTATTTTTAAGCTGATAGTTTGGTGACGAGGTACTCTACCTATGTATTTTTTAAGTCTGGCACCTTTGTGATAATCTATTCACATTTATTGGAGCATTTTTTAAACTACTTCAAGGTTTGAAAAGATGGATATTTATATCTGTAACGAAGATACGTTATATGTATATGTTATTATTTGAATGCAAGCTGTACTATCTCGTCTTATGACATCTTAAGGCAGCTTAATGTTCAACAAGTTCTTGAACGGAACTTCTGTATTTTATTCGTTTTGTACTAAATACTCAAACCCATTGCTATTTCGCTTTAGCGTAAGTATTAGAAAAACTAATGTACCTTGCCTATCGACTTTTGTAATGAGAATTTGTTTCAACTCTACAAGCTAGGCTAAACATTTCCACTCATGGACACCGCTACAGGCATAAATTCATGCACTAGTATTTACGTATCGTTAATAAGGACCGTGTATTGATCTTCAGATTACAATATTGGGAATACAGACAACGATAAGCAAGTGACATTGGCGGGAACTCGTGCCAATAATATGTTTGAAAAAAGTGGTTGTTTGTTTTACGCGTTATCGAAAGTGAACGTTATTTTTTTATGCCTTTGATCATGCATTATATGTCGTATATTATACAAGGTGTGTTCTACTATAGAAATATCAATAAATTTTGTTAAGTGGATTGATTTATATATCGCTCAACTATGCTGATGAGAAATTTGTTATATATCTATTAATAAAACCGCTGCTTGAACACGGCTACATATGAATCCAACGAAGACGTCTTTAACGTTAAATTTACTAG